GCTGCTGTGACAGACAGGCTGGGAAAACCCCTCAGGGAAGGGTCTGAGCTCCGGGCAAGGAGCAGCCGTGGGATCAGGCAGCTCCCAGGGGTTCAGATCCCCAACCAGCAGCCTCAGGGCTGGAAAACAGCTGGATCAAAGGGCCAGGAGAGGGGGGAAAGCTGGTTTTCCAGCTCATAGGAACCCAGCAGCTGTGCCCGTGGTCCCTGTAGGACCATCCCACTCCTCCAACACCCCCCCCAGAGCTGCCCAGAACCACCCTGGGATGAACAGCAAGGATGTGCTGGGGGAGCAATTCCAGCTCCAAGGTCACTTTTCGCTTTCCAGGGATCCACGGAGTTGTTTATCCAGTCCCATACGTGTAAGGGAGTTTAAATGTAACTAAGGCAGCCCCAGCAACAGTGTTGTTTTCCCAGGGCAGCAAGTTTTGGGTGCCAGCTACAACCTATGGACACCCTGGGAAGATTCCCAAGGCACGGGATCCCTGCTTTAGGGTTACACATTTACTCCCAGGATCCAGGGAATTTTTCCTCTCTAACTCAGCCGAGTTTCCCTCGAGTTCTTTCTGGTTTCAGAGCCACGTTTCTCCAAGTCTCGGGAGTTTTTTTGACTCAAATTCTCCTCACCCCCTTCCCCTCGCAGGGAATTCCTCCCAGCAGCAATTCCAAACAGAATTTCATATTCCTGCACCCCATTCCCGTGCCCAGGGAGGTCACCACCCCTCTGCAGAGGCTTTAAGGACAAGGAGTAGCTGCATTAATTCAATTACTTAAAGCAGATAACCAGACAAGCTCCCTCCAGGCTCCCCTTCCTTAAAGGCACAGCTGCCTCCCCCCCAGGCCCAGATTTTGGGGTGGATTTGGGCATTTCTCCTCCCTGATATACTCCAGTCTCTAAAACAGCTGGAGCACGGAGCTGTGGGGAGGGGGGGGGCAAAAAAAAAACCAACAAAGCCCCCTCAGCTCTTTATTTTATCAATTTACTTTTATTTTAATAGAATAATGGCTTATTCTACCAGTTCAGTGCATTGTTTTAATGGAGCAATGGATTTTTTTTTAATAGATTAATGGATTATCACAATCAGCTGTGATTCCTCGGGTAAACTTTGCTCTGAGGAGGCACGTGAACAGTGAACAGTGTGACCTTGAAACCGGCTCTTCCTGGAAAAGGAAGGAAATTCCCACGATGTGGGGGCACTTCCTGGGAATTCAGCCCTGCAAACACCATTAACACACCTGTGAGCACCCTCACCTCGCACCCAGCACCTTTTCCAGGTGCTTTCAGCTGAAAGAAAGGGAGCATTTCCAACAACAGACTGGTGAAAATACGGAATTATGGAATGGTTTGGGCTGGAAGGACCTTAAAGCTCCCCCAGTTTCACCCAGGGACACCTCCCACTATCCCAGGGTGCTCCCGGCCCCGTCCAGCCTGGCCTTGGACACTTCCAGGGATGGGGCAGCCACAGCTGCTCTGGGAATCCATCCCAGCCCCTCACAGAATTTCTCCCTGTTACCCAATCCCAACCTACTCTCACCAAGATTTGCTTTAAAAGGGCAACACTTTTGGGGATTTTTAATAGATTTGAGCTGTTTTAGTCGACTTCACCTCAGTTTTTGTCCCCTCCCACACCATTCCACACTCCCTGTTTGCTTCATCCCACCCCTGGGATATCACACCCTTCCACCAAGCCCCGAAAACTCCCCTGCCACTGGACCAGAATACTAAAAAACAAAGAAAAAAGAAACCAAACCAAAAACCAAGCCACCAGTTTATTTAGAGAAATCCTTTCTTTAGTGGTCAGTCTGGAACGCTGCGATGGGAGGAGGCTCCAGTGGCCAGGCCGGAGCGCTGGGAGCCGTCACATGGCGAAGAGGATCAGGAATGCCACCATCAGACAGAAGAGCCCCATGGCTTCGGACAGGGCAAAGCCCAGGATGGCGTAGGAGAAGAGCTGCTGCTTGAGGGAGGGGTTCCTGGGGGGCAGGAGAG